GGCGGGCTTCGCATGTTTGTTCAGTGCTCCCAGACCCCACCCCTCCCAGACTGGAAATGGAGGGCAGCACACTCGGGCCTGCGGGTTGGGCTGGGGTGGCTTGGTGGGTGGCAGGTGGCGACCTCCTCGCTCGGCCGACAGCGCTGCCCACGGAAGGCGACAAAACCTCCGCGCGTGTGCGCGGCCTCCGGAGCACCGTGCGGGTGCTCCCGGCGGCCCGCGGCAGCCCTGGCGTCGGGCTCCACGACGAGCTCCGCATGATCGTTGCACTGCCTGTCCAGCTGTAGCTCGTGCGGGTCGGACACACAAATCAATACACACGACTAGAAGGATTCCCCATATTTTCCCATATGTTTTGGGTTTTCGTCTTCCCCCCCACTTCCCCCCCACTTCCCATATTTTCCCATATGTTCTGGGGAGTCGACGATTCATTGTGTCTGTGTGTTTCTTTCCCTCCTGAAAAATGACCACAACCACTGCTTCTTGTTTGCGCTGCCTTACAGCCGGCCGAAAAAGAAGCTGTGGTTGTGGTCAACTGCCTGGTGCCAAGTTTTTTACCGAAATGGCCACGACCACTGCTTTGTTTCTGCTGGTTGGAAGGCGGCAACAAAAGAAAAGCAGTGGTTGTGGTAATTTTCCCGTCCCGTAGGTCGGGCATGCCCTCCTACCGGCGGACTGTGGGCGAAAATGAAAAAAGCGAATCGAAGACATGTGCAGAAGTAGCCAAAACAACTCGTCCAGGACTATTGTTTTGCTACTTTTTGAACATTCCTCCTGCAGAGGGACGTGCACGACTCAAGTCTAGCTCCGCGTTCAAGCCGAATTTGTCGAACCGAACGTCGGCCGATCGGGACTTCACCACCGCAGGCATCGTGAGCTCCTGGCGCTTGTCCCTCTGGGCCTCGTCAAGCTGGACATGCCAGCCGTTGATGACGCCCTGCATCTGCAGCAAGCGGGCGTCCATCTCCAGAAACTGACTGGCATGCTCGACCGCACACTCCCCGAAAGCAGTGAGCTGATCCGCGAGCCCCTGGTTCTTGGTCCGCGTGGTCTCAAACGCGTTGATGTGCGTATCTTCGGACCGAACACCACGGGGCATACTATGTTGAAGAAGCAGCCTTCGAGTTACTGCGCATCCCCCTGCGGAGCCTGCATCGGCAACAGGACCATGATCCTGATCATGCCATCGCACGCCAGGAGGAGGAAGGTCAGCAGCATCAGGCCAATCAGGCTGCGGATCAGCGGCTCCTGGGGTTTCCCTCCAGACTGCCCCTGCGCCTGGGAGCACGAGCACCAGCCGCATCTGTGCCGCATCTGCACGCACAACGCGTCGATCCTGGGCCTCTCCAAGTAGCAGATCTCGTGGAGGAACCGCTCGTGCTCCGCGGGCCGGGGAATCCTCCGCACAGCAGGGGGGGGGGGGCATCCCTGGCCGCGGCGCGTGGCAGGCCCAGCTCGTCACCAGGCTGAGCTCGAGAGCCTCTCCCGCTGCGAGCTTCCGCTGGGCGGCCTTCGCTGTGTCGGGCAGCGATGGAAAATGGCTGCCGATGGCGTCGTCCAGCTCGCCCGGAGACCGCCAGGAGATCGCGGTACGCCAGTTCACCGCATGAGCCCGCAAAACGCCGGTCTCGCTTGGCGGCTCGCACAAGGGGGGTTGGGGGAGGGGAGGAGGCTCCTTGGAAGGAGGCTGCTTCTCAGAAGGTGCCGGCCTCAAATCTGCAGACGAGGCCCACGCCTTCTGAGAAGCAGGGTGCTTCCGAAAAGCCTTCCCCCCTCCCCCTACCCCCCTACCCTCTGCGCGTGGCGTCGGTTCTCGGGGCACAGCTCGGGCCTCGGGACGGTCCGAGCGCCGCCAGAACGCCCCCGGCGAGGCGCAGCTGCTGGCGAGCCTCCCGAGGATGGAAAACCGCCGAGAGCCGACGAGAAAGCGTCAGAAGAACCTCGAACCTCGAGCGTCCGAGGAGAACGCACTCTGCGCGTGGCTGCCTCAGCGCGCCACTCCCTCTCTTGCGCCTCCTCGCCAGGTGTGCGGGCAGAGGAGGCCGCCCGGGCCCGCCAGCGAGAGCCGGGCGCCAGCGGCCGCCCAGGGCGGCGCGCTGTCGTGCAACGGGCCTGCCGTGAACCAGGCTCGCTGAGGTGGAGGACAGAGGAGGAGGAGGAGGAGGAGGAGGAGGAGGAGGAGGAGGAGGAGGAGCAGGAGGGGGAGGGGGAGGAGGAGGGAGGAGGAGGAGGAGGAGGAGGAGGAGGAGGAGGAGGAGGAGGAGGAGGAGGAGGAGGAGGAGGAGGAGGAGGAGGAGGAGGGAGCGGAGGAGGAGGAGGGAGGAGGAGGAGGAGGAGGAGGAGGAGGAGGAGGAGGAGGAGGAGGAGGAGGAGGAGGAGGAGGAGGAGGGGTAAACAGGGAGGAGGTGAAGGAGGAGGAGGAGGAGGAGGAGAAGTGGAGGAGCAGGTAGAGAGGGAGGTACAGAGGAGTTCAGTTCAGCTCTCCAGCCCTTCAAGACCGATCTTTGACATCTGGGGAAAACTCTGGCTCGGTAGACTTTGCTACACCTCCCATTTCGTCAAATCACCGTTCGGCAACCATGCTGCTACACGCAACACCTGAAACTAGCATTCGACAGGTACAGAGAAGGAGGAAGAGGAGGAGGAAGAGGAGGAGGAGGACGATGAGGAGGAGGATCACCCAGAACAGGAGCATCTCAATTTACACGGCGTCGCGGGATGACGACGTCGCTATCATCGACATTCGCATGGGTGCAGTACATGAGCGACCGAATCCAGAACCCATTCGTGCCGCGTACGACCTCCGCTTGCCGGGGATGAGAAGGCGTGTGAGACATTTGGCTGTCCCCATCCCCTTTTTCCCTTTCCCTAGGGTCCAAAATGCCTTTTGACGGCGGGGGAAACACGAGCTTGTCAACGCACCCCCCGGGGCCCCCGGAGCCTCCAAAAAAAAGCCCCGAGAGGACCCAAGACGGCCCAAAGGTGTTCCAAGAGGACCGCCGAGGAGGCCCCAGCGAAAGGCAAAGATCGCCCCAGCTCCTGAAGAAAACGTGCATTGTTAGCACGCTCGCCTTTTTCGTCGTGACAGCTTCGAAGGCTGCCCGAGGGACCCCCAAGAGCGTCACAGGACGGCCGATGAGGCCCCCGAGAAGGCCCCAAGATGGCCCAAGAAGGCCCTGAGCCGGCCCTCTTGGGCCCCCAAGACGGCCCAAGAACCTCAAGAAGGCCACAAGAGAGCCCAAGAGGGTTTTTGTTATTGTATATTTAAAATGTTTTCCAAGAGAGCCCAAGAGAGGGAATGCGAACTGATATTTCGAGCCCTTTCCCCCCAAGATGGCCCCAAGAGAGCCCCAAGAGGCCCCCGAGGAACCCCGAAGAGGCCCCAAGAGGCCTCCAAGACGCCCCCGAGAAGCCTCCAGACAGGCCCCCAAGAGGCCCCACAGAGCCTCACAAATGCACGCAAGAGCCCTCAAATTCATCCAAGCGGCACCTGACCCACCCATAGCCCAAGCACGGTGGTGGGTTGGGCCAAAAGCCACTAAGTCCGCCGCCCCCTGTCGATTCATCGCAGGTATGCCTGGAGTGCTGGATCATTTCGGTTTTGGTTTTGTTTCTTTTTCCAAAACAACTCCCATGGGGCTTCGGCCTGTCCCGCCAGCCACCCGAAAGGTCGCACAATTCCCTAATGTTTCGCTCAAGATGGCCCAAGATGGCCTCCAAGATGGCCACGGTGGCCCAAGATGGTCTCCAAGATGGTCCAAGATGGCCTCCAAGTCCGCCCAAGATGGTCCAAGAAGGCCTCCCAGACGGCCCAAGAGAGTCCAAGACGGCCCAAGACGGCCCAAGAGGCCCTCCAGAGGCCTCCAAGATGGCCCAAGAGGCCTCCAAGAGGTCCTCCAGGTGGGCCCGAAGAGGCCAAAAATCATTGATGTTCCTTAGGTTTTTGAAGGATTGTCGCAGTCGCTTCTTCTCGGCTTTCCGACGACCCAAAGCGGCCCAAGAGGCACCCAAGATCGCCCCCACAGCGCCCAAGAGGCCTCCAAGATGGCCTCAGAACTGCCCAAGAGGTCCCCAAGACGGCCCCAAGAGGGCACAAAGACGACCCAAGAGGCCTCCAAGACGCCCAAGATGGCCTCTAAGACGACCCTGGAACATCCCAAGAGGGCCCCAAGTCGGCCCAGAAAGTCCCCCCAAACGGCTTCCGACGGCGTCAGACGGGGCAGGAGCCCACCAAGATGGCCGAAGTTGGCTCGAAGCTGGCCCAAGGCGGCCCAAGAGGCCTCCAAGAGGGCCTCCAGGAAGGCCAGAAAAGACAAAAAAACACGGATTGCCGGTGGGTTTTCGAAGGAGTTTGACATTTGCTTCGTTTCGGCCTTCCGACGGCTAGATACGGCCCAAGAGCCCCCAAAGATCGCCCAAAGATCGCCAAAAGATCGCCCAAAGATCGCCTAGAGGCCTCCAAGATGGCCCCAAAACGGCCCAAGAGGCCCCCAAGACGGCCCCAAGAGGCCCCCAAGACGGCAAAGGAGGCCTCCAAGACGCCCAAAACGGCCTTCTAGAAGGCCCTGGAGCATTCCAAGAGGGCCCCAAGTCGGCTCAAAGAGGCCCCCCGAACGGCTTCGGACCGCGTCGGACGGGCCAGGGGCCCACCACGACGGCCGAAGATGGCACTAAGATGGCCCAAGACGGCCCAAGAGGCCTCCAAGAGGGCCTCCAGGAAGGCCCCGAAAAGGCCAACATCATTGATTTTCAATGCGTGTTTGCAGGATTGTGGCATTTGCTCTTTTTCTGCCTTCCGACGGCCCGAGACCACCCAAGTGCCCCCGAAGACCGCCCAGGAGGCCCAAGACGGCCCCAAGAGGCCCCCAAGACGGCCGCACAGGCTTCCAAGACGCTCAAGATGGCCTCCAAGACGGCCCAAGAGCCCTCCAAGACGTCCTCCTAGAAGGCCCGAAAGGGTCAAATAGCCTCCAGGCGGCCAAGATGACCTTCAAGATGCC